AGAGAAAAGGTGAGAAAAAAATGAAAAGCTGAAAGATGTTGAATTAAAAATACATAATTATACCGTGATGTAGTGAGATTTTATTGAGGTAATTGAAACCAGTAAAAGTATATTTAAAGCAATACTACTTATACAATAGCACCCACTCATTCATCTATCCATTTCTTCATTTATCTATTCATTCATCCATTTATTTATCCATTTACCCACCCATTTATTCTTTCATTCATCAATTTCTTGGTTTTTTTTTTTTTTTTTTTAATTTCAATACTCGTTTCGTTGCTGTTTAAAACGATGTTCGAATTGAACAGTTAGTCAACTTAACCATTCCTCTGGCACCCACTGTATCTCATTCTTCAGGTCACATAACGCATCCAGTAACCTGAACATTGAAGCATTTGTTTACTAAAGAATCATCGCCAAATTTACAAGTAGAATAACTGCTTTATTTAGCTCTAAATTCTGCAAAGCTTTAAGAGCACTAAACTTGTGCATTAATTTTTCTTCGCTGTCTATCTGCTGCATATTTTTTACTCCAAATAAACCAAAAGATTCTTGGTCTATGAATAAAGCAAAAAAAAAAAATTTATATATTTTAACCAACATTAATTGTAAGTCACATTGGTCTAGACATACTTTTTCTTACCAAAATAACCAACACACAACTAATTTTTTTGGGTATTTTGTTTTCAATTGTAAACCGCTTCTAATACTTCAAAAACAAGAAACACTGTCAAAAAGACAACTGAAAAAAAAACTTCTTTTTACTTTTGCTCTTTTCTGTAGCATATTTTTTAAGACCTAAAAACAGTTCAATATTTTTTAGAAAATAGAAACAGTTTTTAAATAAAATTTTATAACCCGTTGAAAAGTTATGAGTGATTTTACCGGTTTTGAGGTCAAACAAAAAAATTGCTATAAAATTTTCATGATCATCATCATTGTTGGTTTTCCTGTTTTTTTTTTCTTTGATTTTTTTCGAATATTTATTTCTATGACAAAAGTTTTACTCGTATTAAGCTGCTTGCTAATATTTTTGCTTTCAATTTTTACATAATTATATGAAAAATATCCTGAGACCTAAATTATTGTTAGTAATATTATTATTGCTATTATTGCTATTATTACTACCATTACAATTATTGTTATTATGTTTATTATCACTATTATTAATATTATTACTGTTACTATTATTACAACTATTATCGTTATTATTATTTTAAAAAAAAGGCTAAAAAGTTTAATCGTTGATGTAAAACTTCATCAATCAAAAAGTATCAGTTGTTGTAACAGATTAGACTTAAAACAACCAACCTTTTAAAGGTTACTTCAGCGCTTCGATTAGTTAATATCAAATGAAACATTGGTGAATATTCACCAGATAAAAGTTTCTTATTTTCAGCGACAGTCTTCAGCAGTTCTTCGTCTGAATGAGGATTCGGTCGAAGTTTGTTGATCTGCCGTAATTCACTAATGTCTGGTGGTGCAATGACCACAACAAATGGCATAAATTCTCGATTATACAAATAGCGCAATGCTTGAGGAGCACAGTCGAGAACACAGACTCGACCTCCTCGAACACATGCTCGAACTGTCTCAGTACTAAAATAGTATTGTCTAAGCAATATTAATTTATAAATTTTACTTCTTTTATTACTTTTTTTTTTTAAA